ATTACATTCACTTACGTGCTAATACCCTTAGGAAAGGTATGAATCTTTTTCTTCTCTCCTGATTTATTTATTAACACAAACAAAACAATTTATTATAACTTATAGTAAAAAGTAGGCAGTGTGGAGTAATGGATAGCCGCTCGGATTGAGGAATCAGAGAGCCGAGTTCGAATTCCAGTCGAATCCAGTACATTCACTTACGTGCTAATACCCTGGGGAAAGGTATGAATCTATCCCCACCCAGCTATTGGTAAATAGCAGAACAGACTGGGTCCTATAGCGTTGGTTAGCAGCCAGTCTAGGAAAACTGAATTCAAATCAGCCTGTAGAGGCTGTCTTGCCCAAGACACACCACTTTTGCTGCAGCTGCAGTACATGTGATGCCCCTATGACACTGATGGGTCACGGTACTCGTGATATCAATGGGTGACATCCGACAGGAGAAACAGAAATTCGAAGGTACTCTCAAAAACAAAACCTATTTTGTGAATCCTATAAAAAAGTTGATAATTTTTATTTTTATATACAGTAAAGTTCACCCAATAAAAGGCTCGAGCGCCACTTCAGGTAGAGAGCGTTCATAGAAACACTGATGCAGGGTCTCTATTCTACTAACCCTGCAGTTCTGGGGTAAAAAAACCGTGTGGAATTTTCTCTATATATTGGGAATACAAAGAAAATGAGGGTGGTTAAAATCTCTGTCAATGTAGCAAAGCGGGTCTTGGCTGGAAAGTTTTGAAATGGTAGCACAAAAGAATGGAGCGCTCATCTGAACATTTACCATGGAAATATCAAAAAACGAAGCAATGGGCTTGAAACATTATTTTTTTTTGTGGGAAGAGTAGTTACATATCAGAGAATAAGTCTTCCCCAAAGAAACCACATAAATGATTTTGAATTCTACCAAGGTTTGCAAATGAAGATTGTGCAGCTCCAGCCCAAATATGGCAGCAATACTCCATTTTGGTCTGATCTGATTCTTTTAAAGATGAAGCATGGCAGAAAGACTCTATCAAAGCTGGATAGTTGTGTAACATAACGAGGATCGAACGCGTCCTGTCACTATGATTGAGAGGTGGGGCTCTTGCCGTAGACCGGCAACTAAGTAAGGAGTAGAGGGCAGATGCAGAGCAGATAAAGCAAGCCCTTGTGACCGCGTACGCAATAGACTCCTTCAATGCATTTGACCAGTTCATGACAAGATGATTTCATATTGGGGAAACTGTCGGAAACTGTTTTGGCGGTGATACAGCACTTGGCTTGACTGATTGGGAGGCAGTTGCCTGAGCAGTGGCTGTTATGTGCATTGGTGTCTGGGCTCTCACAGGACGTTACCTTCTTAGAGCATCGTCCAGAATAATAGAGACTCTGACCATGGAGCAACTTCTAACCCAGGTAAGAGACATTTTGACCAATAACCAAAAACCTGAAGAGTCAGTCACTGCATCCATTTAACCAACACGCACTGAGACACGTCCTTCTGGCATATGAACGGATGGTATAATTTGTTTGAAATGCTCTGGTTTCAACCACTTTGCTAAGGACTGTAAAAAAGAATGTCGGGGGGGGGCAGATAACCAGGCGGCTGTAGAATGGATCAGCCAGAAATGTTATATTTACAAACCAAAACAATGAGATTGACAGTTCAAACAACTCTTGGAATGATAATTAGTTTCTCAAAATAGCAGAATAAATCTTTTATATTGATGTATACCTGAAGAAGGCTGTAGAATTAGTCCACTAGATTGTTATACTTACAAACCAAAACAATGAGATTGACAGTTCAAACAACTCTTGGAATGATAATGATTTCTCAAAACGGTAGAATAAATCCTTTATATAGATTGTATACCTGAAGAAGGTTGTAGAAATAATTGATTTAGAGCTAAAATAATAAAAAAAGGTGTAGAGATAATTTGTTTGAAGTGCTCGGTCTCAAATGATGATTGTGCAGCCCCAGCCCAGATATGGCAGCAGTAAAATAAAATATTAAAAAAATAATGCTTATAAACGTTTACAGAAACAACAAAAAAACTTACTTTCAATCATTCTTGACAAACAATAAAATTTGTTTTCAACCATAGCTGACTAACAATAAACCTTTATCTTTACCATACTTAGGGAAAAAAAGCCTCAACCATACGTAACAAACGATAAATAGATCAGAAGGAATCTCACTGTCAGCCATATTTGACGAACCATAAAAAAATGTTTACAACATGGCTCTAAATGATCCGAAAGGGGTTGAAAGGGCGTTACACACATTCAGTCAATCAAATACAAGTGTTTTTCCGAAGACGTTGTGGCAATTCAAAGATAAGGAAGAAAAAGAAACAGTGGAGAGCCATTATTAGATAATAATGTCTCTCAGTTATGTGCCATGCGTGATACACGCGCCGGCGATCATGTATCTTTTTCGACACAGGACTCACGAGGAAGATTTTATTTCCGCAGCAGGTTGACATTTCCTTATACGATAGACCAGTTGCCATCCAAGGCTATTTACCCATACCTTTCCCAAGGGTATTAGCACGTAAGTGAATGTAATGGATTCGAGTGGAATTCGAACTCGGCTCTCTGATTCCTCAATCCGAGCGGCTATCCATTACTCCACATTGCCTCCTTTTAATTATAAATTATAATAAATTGTTTTGTTTGTGTTAATAAATAAATAAGGAGAGAAGAAGAGGATTCATACCTTTCCTAAGGGTATTAGCACGTAAGTGAATGTAATGGATTCGACTGGAATTCGAACTTCGCTCTCTGATTCCTCAATCCAAGCCGTTATCCAGTACTCCACCACGCCTCCAATGTCTCTCAGCTTCATCCTTAAACGTTTTTACAATTTAAGCATTTTTTGAAGATTATTGTATAATAATTGATGGAAGAAATGATTGGCTTAAAAAATAAATTAATTAGAAAGTACGCCTTGGGCAAGAAACGGGTAACATAGTATTTTGGAATTGTTACCTAACACAGAACAATGTTCAAGGTTTTAGTCAGAGTATAAAATTCCGTATGATGGGCGAACTCGAAATCAATCATACTTGATTTCTCTTTAATAAACGCGTGGGGAATAATTAAAACGTTCGCTTTCCGACCATGATACACAGGTTCGAGCCCTGGTTCGAATCTCACTAAGACAGATGCTTTTTGCGGAGGCATAGCGTGCGGCACATTCCGAAATGAAGTAGACGTAACTATTCCAGACGCCGACTTTTGTTGTGCTAGCACGTAAACCCAAGTCATAGTGACTGAAGATTTGAATGCATCGGCCTTGGTCAAACTGAGGATCATGCCAGATTATGCGCTTTCTCTCAGAAACAGTAACTAATGTCCGCTGAGCATAGTTGCAGTGTAAAACATAGGCTGATCCTGTGCATGTTTGACAAGACAAATGGGGCTAGCGTATTCAAATAAGCGAGAGACTGGCAGCCCAAGAAGAAGGTTTGGTCAGAAACGATTAACTGACCATTATATTTGAAATTGTTTGCTTTTATAGCCTTTTTACCCCAAGCAAGGTAATAAGGCCACTAAGACGCAAGGGGTTACTGGGTGTTAGTGAATATGAGAAAAAAACTAGTATTAAGGAACGTGGACAATAAAAGAAGATTGACTAACTTTCAATTTAAATGTTTGAAAATAAAAGGCGACAGGAAAGCAAGAAGAGGTTTTTGAGTTGTTAGAAGCAAAGAAAAGATATATATAGTGAAAGATGCCGTCCAAAAGCTAAGTATTCAGAAATAGGAAAATCTTGTTAGAAACAAAGAAAAGAGTACTGAACTGTTATGTAATATCAGTCCTCCTATATGACAGTGAATGCTGGACAATCTCCTCACAGATGAAGAAGAGACTTGAAGCAAGAGAAACAAAGAAAAGAGTACTGAACTGTTATGTAATATCAGTCCTCCTATATGGCAGTGAATGCTGGACAATCTCCTCGCAGATGAAGAAGAGACTTGAAGCAAGAGAAACAAAAAGAAAGAGTACTGAACTGTTATGTAATATCAGTCCCCCTATATGGCAGTGAATGCATTACAATCTCCTCACAGATGAAGAAGAGACTTGAAGCAATAGAAACAAAAGAAAAGAGTTTTGAACTGCTATGTAATATCTGTCCCCTATATGGCAGTGAATGCTGGACAATCTCCTCACAGATGAAGAAGAGACTTGAAGCAAGAGAAACAAAGAAAAGAGTACTGAACTGTTATGTAATATCAGTCCTCCTATATGGCAGTGAATGCTGGACAATCTCATCACAGATGAAGAAGAGACTTGAATTAGAAAAAAAAAAAAAGAGTACTGAACTGTTATGTAATATCAGTCCTCCTATATGGCAGTGAATGCTGGACAATCTCATCACAGATAAAGAAGAGACTTGAAGCAATAGAAACAAAGAAAAGAGTACTGAACTGTTATGTAATATCAGTAAATGCTGGACAGTCTCCTCGCAGATGAAGAAGAGACTTGAAGCAAGAGAAACAAAGAAAAGAGTACTGAACTGTTATGTAATATCAGTTCTACTATATGGCAGTGAATGCTGGACAATATCCTCACAGATGAAGAAGAGACTTGAAGCAAGAGAAACAAAGAAAAGAGTACTGAACTGTTATGTAATATCAGTTCTACTATATGGCAGTGAATGCTGGACAATATCCTCACAGATGAAGAAGAGACTTGAAGCAAGAGAAACAAAGAAAAGAGTACTGAACTGTTATGTAATATCAGTTCTACTATATGGCAGTGAATGCCGGACAATTTCCTCCCAGGTGAAGAATAGAATTGAACCAATAGAAAGAAAGAAATGAGTTTCGACAGTTTATTTTGTTTTAAAAATTAGAAAGATTTAACGTTGTAAGTCGATTGCTATTTCCATGGCAAATATTTAGATGTTCATTTTTTAATCAACTAAATCTTACAATTTTCAATTTCTCTTCCATTCATAACTTGTTTTGTGTAGACTTTAGTTTAAAATTGATGAAACCCTGTATCTTGTGTTAATGTCTTTTCATACTCGATTATCTATCTATCTATCTATCTATCTATCTATCTATCTATCTATCTATCTATCTATCTCAATTTGTTTCTATCTATCCTTTGTTACCTTACTTCAGGTATAATATCGTTCTGTTCATGTTCATCGTATAGAACTCACTTCAATAGACTATATTACACCAGATCATCAGAAAAGACAGGTGCATGAGCGAGTTGATCAGAAAGATGACCTCTTAGCCACCGGCTGAAGATATATGATCGCATGACAAGTAGATATATAAACACCCAACTCAGATGGAAAGGAAGAAGATGCTTTCACGTCCTAGTGAGATTAGACGTAGAATTCATGTTCAGTGGACACACTAAGCCCACCCACCCGCTTGCCAGCGTTTATGTTATGTATGAGATCATTAGATTAGTCATGCCATTTAAGGTTCAGTGCTCTTGCCATATATTTAGATTATTGATAAAATCTAAAGAAGAATCAGCAATATTATCGGCCCTGATCTGGCATCTCGGCTTCAGTCACTTTTCAACCGCCGTAACATAGCATCCCTGTGACTTTTCTATAAATACTTTTACGGTAATTGTCCGGATGAGATATTCGCTATGGTACTTAGACTTTAAGTGTAGTATTAGATTGGCAGCAAGACATCATCAATTTAGAGTGGAGGTGACCAGATGTAACAGTAAGTTCTAAGTTATCAGTTTCTTTTCTCGCACTTCTCACTTGTTGAACTCTCTTATGGTTCTAGGCTTTTTCTATCTATCTATCTATCTATCTATCTATCTATCTATCTATCTATCTATCAGATGATATCTTTCTCTCTTAGGTGGTTCATTTCTATCTATGTATCTTTGTTGATATCTATCTATCTATCTATCTATCTATTTATCTATCTTTGACTGTTCATATCTATCTATCTATCTATCTATCTATCTATCTATCTATGTTGATATCTATCTATCTATCTATCTATCTATCTATCTATCTATCTATCTATCTATCTTTGACTGTTCATATCTATCTATCTATCTATCTATCTATCTATCAGATGATATGTTTCTATCTTAGGCGGTTCATTTCTATCTATCTATCTATCTATCTATCTATCTATCTATCTATCTATCAGATGATATCTTTCTCTCTTAGGCGGTTCATTTCTATCTATGTATCTTTGTTGATATCTATCTATCTATCTTTGACGGTTCATATCTATCTATCTATCTTTGTTGATATCTATCTATCTATCTATCTATCTATCTATCTATCTATCTATCTATCTTTGACTGTTCATATCTATCTATCTATCTATCTTTGTTGATATCTATCTATCTATCTATCTATCTATCTATCTATCTATCTATCTATTTATCTATCTTTGACTGTTCATATCTATCTATCTATCTTTGTTGATATCTATCTATCTATCTATCTATCTATCTATCTATCTATCTATCTATCTATGTCATTCAGTTCGTAATGACGAAATATCAATCATGATAAAAAATGTTGCAAATGTAATCAGATCAAAAGAGCAAAATGAAAATATGAAAGTCTTTATCGAAAGTAATTAGTTTTTGATGGAAAGAAAAAAATCTTAATTGAAATTCCATTGTTTGGCCAACACAGCCAAATGTTGATGTGCAAATTATCAAAAGTGATAAATGCTTTTTAATGAAGAATACGTGCACAATGGATTGTAGCAATGATTGTGTAGGTAAATTAGGAATCACAAATATATATATATATATATATATATATATATATATATATATATATATATATATATATATATATATATATATATATATATATATATATATATATAATATATATATATATACATATATATATATTATATATATATATATATATATATATATATATATATATATATATATATATATATATATATATATATATATATATATATATATATATATATATATATATATATATATATATATATACATAAAAGTATATAATTGGTATATACGGAATGAATTCCAATAACCAACAATTACTATTCTTAAAAGAGTGCTCAATACAAAGTAGAGCAGATATAATTATTTTTTTATAAAAAAAATTATAACATAAGTATGTTATAAGATCACTACAAAAATAGCCATTTTGTTTCAACACACTCTGTGTCTTATCAAGTGATGTTGAAAATAAAATAAATGGTTTTAAAAGTTTCAGATTAATTAACGATCCTACACTAGGGGGGAAACATTGTTACAAAAGCTAGAATAACCAATCAAAACCAAGTATAGAAAGATTCAAAAGCTTGACAACAAAATCCTGCTATAATAGCTATTTAGATCTTTAAATACGTGTAATATTAAAAATAATTTTTACTAACTAATAATTATAAATTTATATGATAAAATTTAATATTAAAATTAAAAACTGGCAATTTTAAAATCCAAATTTAATCACTATTAAGTTTAAAAACTACAAAATTATTGAGAAAAAAAAAAAATATATATGTTTATTCAATTCATTTCTTCATTAAAATTACGTTCTGACAAGACAAAAGCTATAATTCGTCCGGTCATCTAAATAATACATGTATATATTTTTTTTTTTTTCTTTTTTTTTTTTAAATGTTTGTGAATATGGTCTTAAACTCACGCGTGACACAACAAAAAACACAATCAGATTATAATACATAAGCATCCAGACATAATTAGATACACACACACACACACACACACACACACACAAAAAAAAAAAAAAAAAAAAAAAAAAAAAAAAAAAAAAAAGGGGGGGACATGAACAACTCCACAGCCCTTTATGAAAAAAAGGAGACGTGAAACTAACACTTATACACACACACAGTTAAATGTGAATACACTCTACATACACATAGACACCGATATATACACAAACATACATCCACAATGGCATAGGCAATGAGATATCACAACCAATAAATATTTCAGACTTAAATAAATAAATAACCACTTATTGAATTATAACTTAAGGGAGCAAATATATAAAGATAAAAATGTTTAAAATAATATTATTTAATATATTAAAAAACGAAAACTCTAAAACAATAAATATCAATAAAATATATATATATTATTAATCATATAAGTTGATAATAGTTTCATTATATATTTGGCAAAAGAAAACAAGATAAAATAATCCACAAATATATACATATATATATATATATATATATATATATATACAAAAACAAATTAACACACATAAAAAAAAAAAAAAATATATATTCATACATACATATACGTACAGAAATACACACAAATAAATATATAAACATAAACATATACGTACATATACATATCTATGATAACAAGTACATATGTACACACATATATATATAAACCTAAATACACACACATATATACACATAGACTTTTATGCACACATACTTAGATATATAAAAAACAGTCATGATATACCAAAATTTTCACCTACCTACACATACATAATATATATAAACAACATACATAATATATTATAACACACACATACATATATATATATATATATATACATAAATACATAAATATATATACACAAACATACATACATATATATACTACAATTAATACATATATATATACATATATATATATACATACAAATAACAACCACCCATATATACATGCATACATAAAAATACAAATAAAATAACTTTATATATATAAATACATATATAAACGAACTAACATATATAGATACATAAATATATAAACACCAACACACAGCAATATACATATAGTCTAACATACAAATATATAAACACATTCATACAAACAGAAATATACTTAAATATAAATACACATATATATATATAAATATATATGGACATACAGATATATATATGTATATATATATCAATATATACACATATATATATATATATATACAAACATATACATATATATATATATATATACACACATACATACACACATACACATACATATATATACAAATATATTTAAAGACAAGGCTGGCACAAAGCTATGAAATCAAATTGGCATCCAGTGAGGAACGAACTCATTAATAATTGATATAAGTCGCAAGTATTATAGTTGGTCTAACCATATATATTTATTTATGTGTTGGTTATTTTGCACTATATACCGTGATTTAATCATATACATATGTATACATATATATACATATACATATATATATACACACACATATATACTATATAACACATATATATATATATGCATATATACATATATATATGTATATATATCAATATATACATATATATACACATATATATATATATATATATATATGTGTGTTGTGTGTACATATATATATGTATATATATATATATGCATATATATATGTAAGGGAATTAACACAAAAACTATATTAAATCAAAATTGGTTGGCCAGCATGGTTCACTAGATTGGGTGCGACTGAATTGGTTCGTTCCTCACCAATTTCCCTTGATTTTCAGCTTTTGAATCTTGTATTATACATGTGACAGGTGCCCGGTCCTTTAAAAGTATATTTCTATTTGTATCTCATTGCATATTGCATATATAAAAATAGTTTATATATTATTTCGGTTTTATTTCGCCTAGATATATTTATGCCAGTATATAACCGACATGATTATGTTTGGGTATATATATTTGTATGTTTGTGTATATATATAAGGTGTGTGTTGTAAATTTTGTTTTTTATGTGTAGCTGGTTTGTATATCAAGATGTTTTTATATATCTAGGTGCCTTTGTGTGTGTATAAAAAATTTTATACATATTACAGTGGGTGTACAACTCGTTTTTTATAGTTAGTGTGGAGACAGAGTAAATATATATATATATATATATATAGTTTGAAGTTATAAACTTTATCAATTCAAATTAAATATTTAATATTTAGTTTAGAGTTTTCGTTTAATTTAAAATTAATCATAAACTTTATTGAATATTTTTCAAAATGACTTTCTAAAATTTACTAATATGACATGTTTGTGTATATTTTCTATGTAAATATGACAGTTTAAGTTTTTCAAAAGCTATCCATTTTAGGACAACTCAAAACATCGTTTTTGTGTTTGTGCCATTGGATGCTTCCGTATGTAAATATATTTTTAAACTCAGAGTTTGACCATATTTATTTATTCTTTATGCATTTTTGTTCAATTTTAATGGAATAAACTTATTTCTCAATAATTTTGTTAGTTTTAAACAATAGTGATTTTTGGATTTTTTTAAAATCAGGAATATTAAATTTTATATAAATTTATAATATATAAAAAATTTTTTAATATATTTAAAGATAAATATATATATATTTGTTGTCATATATATATATTTTGTATATATATATATAAACTTTTAAAACCATATATATATATATATATATATTTTGTAGTGATTTTATGTTATGTTATAAATTTTTTATAAAAATAATATATATATATATATATATATATATATATATATATATATATATATATATATATGTATATATACCTCCGTCTATATATATATATAATAAATTCTATATATATATATATATATATATATATATATATATGTGTGTGTTTGTTTGCATTTATATTGCAATTTTGTGTAATTATCATCTTCTGTCTGGTTTGATTGCATCATTCATATTTGATTCTGATTCTAAATAAATAATGCTGAAATTTATCACATTTTTATGATCTCCAAATGAAAAAGTAATGGCAAATAAGAGTTTAAGTTTTCTATCCATTTAGAATGGACGATATTTTTTTATTTAATGAAAAATTTTAATCATGGGTCCAACAAATCCAATTAATTTTAATTTTATTCTAAGTTTATTTCCTTTATGTAGAAAATAAAAAAAATGAAGAAAAAATAAATGTCACAAAAAATAATTCGGATAGAATACTACAAAGGTGAAAATATATATTTAAAAATGATGGGTCCATTGGACCATTGTCTGTTTGAGGTTAAGATTCTAAATAGATAATGCTAGATTTTCATAGATAGATAGATAAATTTAGAATGGACGATAGATTTAATGATTGACTGATAGGTCCAACAAATCCATTAATTTTAATTTATAGATAGATAGATAAAAATGATAAAATAAATAATTGAAAAATAATTGATAGAATACTACAAAGGTGAAAATATAGTTTAGAAAAATGATAGATTGGACCATTGATAGATTAAGATAGATAGATATAGATAGATAGATAGATTGATAGATAGATTGACTGATATAGATAGATAGATAGATTTGACTGATAGATTGATAGATAGATATAGATAGATGATAGATTGATAGATAGATAGATAAATGAATGAACAGAACTGTGA